AGTCGGGAAAACGTTTCAATTTCTACGTTATTTAACTATTTGACTAAATTAGAAACCAAACATATGCTTTACAATTTAACTACAATAACGACGTGGTATTCGCATGTCTTTAGTCAATTTAAAGTATGATTGATTGTATTTATCAGGTGAAAGCCATTAAGCGATCCGGAAGCGCCTTGAGCCAGCCAGTGACAATTGGAAATGTCGCAGAATTCAGCTGGGAGGATCTTGTAGAGGACACCGAGAAGATTATGCCACTCTCAATCAGTTGCATCTCGGCAATGATGCCTTCGGTCAAAGGGGCCAAGAGAGGAAGAACAAAAGGAAAGAAAGGCTCTCGGAGGTACAACATGTAGTACTGATAAGTGATAACCTGAATACATTTCACACTGATCATAGTTATGTACTTTGGGGGATAAAGCGGGGTCATTGAAAAGTAAGAGAGATTGTGGGCGCTTTCCTTCACATAAGAAATTATAAATTAACATTACACAGATAAACTAAACACATGCAAAAGGACAATTTAGTGTCGCACAATACGTAATTATGTAAATATATGATTTTGTGGCATTAAGATAGAGACGGGAGAAGTTAGAGGAACTCAACAACTGAATTAATATTTCGAATCTGATAGCCTTAATTGGCAGTCCGAGGTTTTGTGTGTCATGTTATTGGACTTTTTTTTTTGGGGGGGGGGGGGGAGGGTACAACAACCAAATTCTGTTTCCCAAGCAATAATTTGCGGTGAAAAGTACTTTATACGCTTCTTATAAGAAAGATAATAACGTAAACGATCTTATTTTTCTTATCCATTAAAAGGGGACTATCCGATAAAGAGGCAAAGGAAATCATCGACCGCAGAATGGGAATTATACTAGCCATGGCATTATACACCCACTCGCCACGCAGCTTCCAATTTGTCCAGGCGACCATGGGAATAGAACTGTGGCGCCAAGGAGTGTCCCAGAAAGTCTTCCGGACGCTCAATCACAGTGGCATCACCATGGGAGCAGAGCGCGTCAGGTTCCATGTCGATAGAATGGCGGAAAATCATGACCAACAACTTAAAGAGTGGAAGTGTACAATTGAGGTGAAGAAATATAGGGTGTACTTGAGTCATACACCATTTTGAATATTCACAGTAATTAACAAAATTATGTACATCCATACTAGTCGTCTACTATGTTCTTTTTTCTGAAAGTTGTTCGTATTAAAATCTATAAAGCTCTTTATTCCCACAGCTCGTCCCCTTAGTAAGAACTTGGCAGTATCGAGATATAGTTTGAGGAAATGACCGCTTCCTCTTGTAGCAATGTATGACTTTTTTTTTACTCTAGATAACACGAAAACACTAAAAAAAAAAATCGGTGTTTCCTTCTCAATTAATATTATGCTGAAATGAATTGACATGTGGATAATACGAAATCCCTCTCTCCCTAAATTGATCAGGAAGCGCCGAGCATGACAATACGTCGGAAGCTAAAGTTCATTACCGGTCCTCCTACATTTGGACTCTGTATTGACAACGTGCAGAAGGGATGTGAAGCAAAACATCAAGGCAGAACACATAGCAACAAATTCCTCCTTCAGACGATGTGCTACGCGGCAAGGGACAGGGTGCCAGCTTCTTCGTCATCCTCGACAGTGAGCGATGCAGAGGACTTAGACCCGTTTAGCTTCTTGCCCTCACCGGAAGTCTTCAACCGCCAGCGAATGCGCTTAGTAGATGTGGTATCGAACATCATGGGGAGGCATATGGGCTTTTTAGAGAGCTTATCTCCTGACCTTCCCATCACACAAGAACACGCACAAACAGCTGCCATGGCTAAGAAGTCTGAAATGGTGAGAATTTGACCAGGGGTGCAGCTATAGAGGCCTTATTCAATATACAACTCACAGTCTTTTTTTAATTTGTTTGTTTTAACTTGAATCTGAATTATAGTGCCCGATTTGAGTACTTCAAATTGTATGCCTTAGTTGTTTATCCAGTACCAACTTGACAAATTAAATGTTCACTTCGCGTTGATAATGTAATATCTAATGATTAGAAGTATAACTTTAAACTACCTTCATACTGAGAGAAACCAGGAAAATAGTGGGCATACTGCTATAAGTTCAGATTATATTATCAAAGAAAAATAGATGTTGACATTCAGATAATAATTACCTATAATACAGGTAACAATTGGAGTTGTGAACGCCAATCCTAGTACCACGCAGGGGACAATTTCAGTCCTGGAGCGCCTCCAGACCTATGTGCCTGTTACCGAAGGAACACCAACACAGACCCTCGTCAGTGGCGACGGGCTGACAATCGAACGCATATTACACGCCCAGAGAGCGCGAAGTAACGGGGAACGATGGGAGGACAGACTCGACGCATTCTTTGCAACACCTCAGGAGTTCCACAAGGAGATCCTCCTATTGCAGGTCAGTTTGAAAGGAAGAACATTCTCACTGGTGCAGCCCAATATAATTCTTAAGTGAGATGATATTCGAGTCTAAAAGTCATGTTATCATCTTAATTGGAGGGTTAATAGCATGGGCGTCATGCCCCCCCCCCTCCCACGGTCTTGTTAAAATAATGCCTACATGGACCACAGTAAATACGTGTTGGCAAATTACAATTGATCAAATAAAAGAGTTTTCACCGTCTTATATGACCTTTTATGCTCTGTGTCTCAAAACGTGAATGACAATGTCGATTAGGAAAAATTATATTGCAGTTCAATAAAAAGATAGGGTTAGGTGTCAAATTCTCTTCATTTGTCGATTAATCAAAACAGGACGTGTAAATTGCAAAGTCAGAGCCAGAAACTGAAATGATCGCTTGTAAATGATATCATTGAAAAATATGTCATAAATCACGTTATTCAGATATATTGCCAATCTTTATAATAGGACTCGAACAATGTGTTCTTCAGAGGTCAAAGTATTTCTGCACGAGGAACACTTGCACAACTGAAATGCGACTTCAATCACCATTCCTTCAAAAAAGACGTGATGCAAAATGTTCAGCATGTCTGGGATATGTACGAGGTAAGCCGTATTTGTGTGAGTGTGTGTATGTGTGTGTGCGTGTGTGTGTGTGTGTGTGTGTGCGTTTGTTGCTTTTGCTTGTGTTCATGTGAAGGGGGGAGGGGTGTTGATGAATTTCCCTCAAGTAACTGAAATTGGAGAAAGACGTTTCAAAATGTGGATTGGAATGGCGACAATTATTCAAGATTAAAGCTTATACTGACAAAAATGATGATGGAAATGTCAGTAAAAGGAGAAAGGGGGGGGGGGGGTTACGATGTTTTGATAGTTTAAGAATGATCCCAGCATAACTTAAAAGTCACATTATAATAATCATTTTTATAATTTATGCAGTTCGTGACCGAGGCGTACACTCTCCTTTGTGCATTGAAGTTCTGTGGAACGTCATCCCTAAACGACATCCCTGATAGTTTCCCTGCTAAAGGAACGACAGAGGAACAACTCCAATGGGTAAAGAGTGTGGCACAACAAGTTGTGGACTACATATACCAGGAGCCCGATAAGTCATCAGTTCAAGTAGCTGCAGAAGCATACAAGAATGAGGCCTCTGAAGGAACAGATGATGCACTAGGCTATTGCCTCTGCAAATCTGGTAGGCATGTCCATCAGTACCAGTATCTATTCTTTTGCACTTTTAACTGAATATGCTCCCGTTTCATTATATGATAAAAGCTTCCAAAATCAAGTGACAATTAATGCCATACCTAATGGTAAATAAGTTACAAGCTGAATTGTACACTATATCGATTTTTTTCCAAAGCCATTACTAACATAATTATCTTAAACTGCATTTTAAACCTCCCAAATTCGTTTTGGAGACGGGCGTTGCATTTTAAAAGTGGACAATAGAAGAAAAAGAAGATATCCTTCAAACACATATCACTCTATCAGTTAGGGGATGAATTTAATAATGTTTTCTCTAACTTCTGTTGAAAGAAAATTGAGTTGTATTCGACAAGACTGATACATGTTTTTCCAACCTTTTAAAATAATTAATACAGAAAAGAATGACGACATGGTGCTGTGTTGCAGTTCAACATGTCACAAGGCTTGGTTTCACCTTAGTTGTGTTGGGTTGACAGCTGCTCCAGACAAAGAGAAAGACTGGTATTGCAGCGCCGACTGTGAGAGTGGTCCGAGTTACATCTACTGTGTGTGCCAGCGGAAAGTCGATCCAGAGGGCAACACAAACATGGCGCAGTGCGCATTGAAAGGAAACTGCAGGGGTCATGAATGGTATCACCACAGATGCATTGGTCTTCAGTTGACTGATCTCTTACCCGGTAAGAATATTGTAATTGTTCATAGTTACAAGGTTTCAGGAATATTATAAATACACAATTTCAAATATTAACATTTTAGCAAGTTTGGATAACCCACTAAATAGAACTAATCCTGCAACGTTTGGTGTCCCTATCTGGATAAAACTCTACCAGAATCTGCGATATGCAAGCCAAAACTCTATTCGTGGACTATATATTCCATATTCCCATTTTTTCCATGGATGTCAAAAGTCTAGTTGATGAGGTTCGATCATAAATTATACAAGCATCTTATTAGCCCTAACCGTACCTTAGAATAAGAAGAGGGAACAAATTTTCACAAATCCATTAGTTCCAATGCATTCCATATATATATCTTCGCAGAGAAGTGGTATTGCAGTGAAGAATGCGCCCTTGATTCTCAAAACGACGACCATGTGCTGAACCACAGTAGAGCTCTCGTTCTGGAAGGATTGCGACATCTAGCCAGGAGAGCAGCAGTTCGGGCTGGAAATGGACCAGTCATGGTTGAAGACTGGAAAATCGATCTCATAACTTTCTGGTCAAAGAGACACCCAAAGTACCTCATCAATGCCCACTACTTTTTAGCATGTGAGTCTGGAATTTGAAGACTTATAAGATTTTACATTGATAAGATATTCATTTGACTCGATGCGAGAATAACTGACAGGACAAGACTTCATGACACTCACGATAAACTTATTATTATGTGCCAAAAATATATTCTGTGTGCCACATCATCACATCATCTTTTAGACCCACTTCCACTTGAAATGCACATAGAATACGTCCGTTTCATTTGTGATTAGGTGTACTAGACAACGAATCCTCCAGGATGTGCATATTGTGAGTTTGGGGATAAACAGATTAAGCATTGTTTAAGAGATAGGAGATTTGTGCCATTTGCCGAAAGAAGGACGCTGGCAAACACACAATTAATAAAGTGTATACTGATGAACGGTCATAATGATGGCATGTGCATTCAAACTAATAGTGACCTAGCTAGTTAACGTTAAAGGGATGGTGCCCATGCGATCCTTTGAACATCATGAAATGATCCTCGAACGAGGGGTTTGAAAAGTAGAAAGTATTTCCTTGGTCATGTTGGTGAAATGTTGGTTTTAGATTTCGCAAATTGTTTTTTCATGGCATCAGGTATCGGTGGATTTGCTCCTTCTGACATCAGGAACAATTTGATCTGGAACAGAGTCATCAATGTCACTGGCAAGCCCGGAGGAAACATAGGGATGGACCTTGGTACTGAGCACATTAACATGGACTACAAGGGTATGTCAGTTGCAATGTTTGACGCATTTTGCGTTGTGCGTAGGTGACGTGATATGCAATTATAAATCAAGGTTGATTTGATCTTCTCAACAATTATATTTTAACTGTTTTTTTTTCTGTATCAATTTTTGCAGGTATGATCGACTTCGCTCATGGAAATGTGACTGAGAAACACGCGCAGAGATGTGCCAAGATGTCAGGACCATTTGGTAGGTACCTGGATATCATGTTCAGTGATGCCGGGATCGTCTCCATGAAGACGCCAACTAGGAAGAAAGCAGAGGATGTATACAAACAAGATGTTGCATTGTTTGTGGATGAGAACGATGGATTTGGACTGTTTGAATACTTGCCCTTCAGACAACACAAAGGCTTTGAAGGGTTCGACCATAAAGAGGTGTTGCGAAATCCAAAGAACCTTGGTAAAAAGCTGAAAGCACTTTCTACGAGAATGGATGCACAGCGTCGCAGTGTTAAATTGTGCACTGACTCATAGAAATGGATACATGCTATGGGTCCCGTATTACTTAGCACTGTCGCAAACTGAGCAGCATGACATCACCTGTACATTGTCCTTTTCCATGCCATGCACGAAGAGCGTGTTCAACACCGATTTCCGGATGCAGCGGGATGATTGGACAAGGTCCCTCATGTCTTCATCAACCCATCTCTTGTTGACTGAAAAGGGTGGCAGATACATAATGGCTTTTCCGGGTCTTCCATCCCTCGCGCATCGGCCTGTTTCTTGCCAATAGCAGAGGACATCACTAGGGCATCCCCAGTGGATAACCTGATCAATGTCGGCGATGTCGACACCCAAACCGAATGCTATTGTTGCTACAACGCAGCGCAGCTTAGAACCTTCGGTGGAAAAGTTACGACATATTCGTTCCTGACTCTTTGAGTCCGTTGATGCGTGGTACATTTCGATCAGTCTACTTTCCACACTGCAAGACTGCCCTGGTCCTGGAGCATGGGCGGACTCGGCGAGGCTTTCGTTGAGCCATGTGTAGAGTTCAGCAACGTGGTCGATTTGTCTGAAAGAACAATACTTAGTGACATTATTAAGGATATTGAAGCTAATCCACGTGTGCCTCTTTTAAGATCCAGTCAACAATAGTGAAAGTGATATAAATTGTAACTGAACGGAAAACCGTTTATTGAGCAAAGTAACGATTAACCGTAACTCCTTATGAAATTGACCCCTTATAATGTGAACATAATTCTTTATATTGCAAAACGTTAAACGTAAGAATGAACGCATCGCTGTCATAAAGATTCGCCTAAAGTTTTGACATACTAGTTAATTGAAAATGAAAACCTTCATAAAACTTAATTCCGTAAGAAAAATGAAAATTGCGTTTTAAAATTTATTTACCGTGCATAAATGATGGTTTTTGCAGCATCGACACCCTTCTCCTTTAATTCATCCAAGTACCATCCAATGGCTTCAAACTTGTCCTTCACCGGAACCACTGATAGATGAATGTTTGGTCTGTGGATAGAACAATTAAAGGTACATGAACTCAGTCATATCCACAGAGCTATTCATATATTCCTTAAAAGTCTCCTTACACACAAGATTTCATTAAATGTCCGTATGTAGCCTAATAGTTTATGACATTATGACTCTCTGCTGTAGACAATTAATGTGCCTCAACTGATAACGAGTATTACACAGGTTTCTGTCCGATTTAAAGTTCTGTCAATTCCCTTATGATTCATTTATGATATTCAAAAGGGCCTATCCGAGTAATTATGAAACCCTGGACCCTGTGGTATAAAAGCTGATATCAAACCCAATTCAGCAACTCAAACATAAGTCTCGAAATTCGCGATTTTGATTGGCTAATACCCTGATACCGGACTCATGTTTGAATTCCTAACAAACAAAACAAAATATAACAAATAAATAAATTAAATGAAAGAGAATAATAACAATGAAAGTAACAACAATAATAGTCATCGACATCATAATAATGATAATTAAAAAATAATAATAATAATAATAATAACAACAATAAAAATAATAATAATCTAATGTTAATAAATGCATAAATAAATACATAAAGATATTGACTGCATTTTACTGATATTTTGTATCATGCAGAATGTAGATTTGCGAGCGCGCAAGTTCTCCTTCCGCCCCCTGTTGAACCCTGTCCCCATTAAAATCTTTGATATACCCCTGATCACTCTTAACCATATTTATTATTTATAAATGTTCCTAGTCGCAACCCTGCAGGGCTGTATTCTTATTTTGTTTTTGCTGTCTGATTTTCATTTTCCTTTAAGATTTCTCACATAATTATTATTACAATAAGGGAAGAGAAGTTCAGTAGTAGATACTATGTATGTATACTATGATCATGATCAATTGACTTGAAGAAATCATTAATAATGATCATTCACATTAACTGCTTATGATGATAAGGTATAACCAACCTGTTGGGAATAGCGGCGAATATTTCTACTTCTTCCCTGCGGAGATTCAGGTTTTGAAGTATTTCTGTGACCATTCTGTTTGTTGCCGTGGCTGTAAGAAGCATTATAGGGCATGCCAGCCTGGATGTCAAAGATGTGGTCCGGAGGTACTCCTCCCTGAATGTAAGACCCCTGTAAGATGAACACAAATGATTGGTAAAATTGACTCGTTTGACCTATTTACCTATCAGTGAATGTTGTGAATTTGATAATGTGTAATTATGGTTTATAATTAGTGTCTTCATGTGAAAGTGCACATCCCACTGTGCATGAGTGAAGTAAACTGAGCTCAGAAAACGTAGCTCCTTGTTAATATTTATGAAAATGACATTGGTGCAGAGTATATGTATAGGCCTTCATTATGTAAACGATGAAGAGGAAATACCTATTTTGTCTTATATGAATATGTCACATTTTGAAGGCGCATTTTGCAAACTCGCTTGCTGTTTAAGACTTTCACGCAGCTTCATAATGCAGAGCTATCTTGAATGGGCCCATGTAATCACATGATTAGCAGAAACAAAAGTGATAAGCTTTTAAAAGACATGTATTTTGTATGATAATGGCTTGAAATATATAAATAATTTTCAAGAACATGCCATTTTGTAAAGCAGTGAACCTCATCTAGCACCAGCAACGAAATCCTGTTTTGAAACTTCCGCACCCATTGCCACCACTTAGGGGACAGGATGGCCTCCGGGGAAGTAAAAACGAGGTCTGTCCCTCCATTCATCAGGTCTGTTTAATAAATGAAGAAATAACAGGAACGTTGTGATCGATGCATTCATGTCAAATTCTATCGAGTGCATTCTGTATATAAACACGTGAAATAATCACATCCCACATCTATTCCACTTGTATTTCTTATCAACAGATACAACAAGAACTATATTGATATCGGGTGTACATAGAGGACAACGCCATGCGTTTTACATCTGTGGTGTTAATTCAACACCCAATGGTGTTATTCTAACATTTTTGGTGTTATGTCCAAACTCTAAGGTAGTAATTTTAATACCTGAAGGTGTAGTCCTCTACTAAAACCGACTGGTGTCAATTTTAACACCCCAGTTTTTACAGTGTATGTCGTCTATCTATTTTATTGTACATCGGATTTGATGTTTTGCATTATCACTTCAATAATAATAATGTTATACACTATTACCATATATTTAACCATAACTGTGGCAAGAAGAAGCACTATTTGTTGTGATGTAAATTATGGTAATGCTATTACGCCCTACCTATACAAGTGATGACGATCCTTAATGTATAATTTTATTGCATCATTTGGGTAAAGAATTTTCTACCGAGGAGAATGATACTAATTAGATCTTTGAATTTGATTGAGTAGTGTTGATTCATGTCGTTTCTTTAAATAAAGTCATTTTCAAATTTCGAATGTTCGGGGGGAGCCCATTGATGCATGCAAACAAAAGAAAAACTGAAATCGGAAAACGGACGCATGTTACACGCCATTCCCGACACAAGTACTCCTATATATTGGTCGCTAAAAGCATGCGAAATTTGAAAATGATTGTATTAAAAGAAACGGGCATAGAATCAAAATTACTGAACCATTTACAACAATCTTGGCATCATTCTCTTTGGTCTTTGGTAGAAAATGATTTATCCAATAATGTAAAACCAAATATGTAGCTTTTGAATTAAGGCAAGCATACTGAAAAATCTTCGTTCCACTTTATTTCTGGGACACCTGGTATAATCCGCTGTATGACCCACAACGTGTAAAATCTCTCGTTGCTGTTTGAATTACCGTTTTCAGTCTCCCTGTCCATGTCATGACCTGAATGGCCAAGAATGGCCGCAGTTCTGATGCCAAGATTCTTCCATCTGCGCACCTGGTCCAGCATTAGACTTTTAAGCGGACTTACTACGAGGGTTATGTGTGTTTTCTGTGGATTCAGCTGTAAAAAAAAAAAAAAAGAAGAAGATTAATGCATGCACAGGTTTTAGTTTATCATACATTTGTAAAGGTAACTATATAACTGTGTTTGTTAGTTATATATTTTAGACAGTGAATATGAATGTTATTAGTTTCTTCAATTTTCTTTTTGGTTAAATATAATCATATTCACTATGCTGCAGGATGGGAATGGGGAGGGGGGGGGGGGGGGCTGGTCCCACCAATCTTATTTTATTGATTATTATTATATCTTTAAGTGATCATTTTAAGACCGATTGTGATTGGGACAAAACCAGTACATTTTCCAGCAGCTCTGCCTAATTTTGAAACCTTAATTTTATATTTTATTTTCATTCATTTATGTGTGTTATTGTTTGTTTTTTTGTATTTGTTTTTGTTTTTTGTTTTTTTTGGCTGGTCTTGCATCCACATAATTATGGGAAGTATGCCGTTCCGTTCCTTATTTGGGCCTGGTATCTCATTGCATGATCAGACGGACTTTTTAAGGCCCGCTATCCGATGAATGTATACTGTATGCATGCAAATAAAATAATGATCTGAAATTAGACCAGCATGAATGAATCTCGATCGTCTCATTCCTTTTTGCATTCATGTAAAATGAGTGGGTCGGGAGCACCTAACCCGTGGCGTGCATATACTTATGACACATTTGGAAAAGATTGTGGAGGTTGTATAACTCCCCCCGGGGGGGGGGGGGGGGGACTGTTATTTTGACGGGGGTGTGCCGCTACCAATTCCAAAACGGAGGGGGGGGGGGCTAAGGAGCGGCAAAGAAGATCAAAACGATGGCCTTGAGAACGGCCTCCCCCAAAAAACAACTACAACAACACAAAATGAGAGTTTACTTTACACCCCTTTACACCCATGACAGAGCCTTATTCCATCAGGATACGTGCAAGAGACCCACCTCTCCGACAAGCAAACGAACAAACTAACAAAAACCTTGTTGTTCAACTTGTTGGTGATTTTTTTTTCTTCAAAAAATAAATAAGTGAGGTGGAGAGGTAGGTAAAAACCAACAAACGACTCCAAAACAAACTGACAAGAAAAATGAAAGGTCTCACATCGACTAAAACACCAAAAAGTCGCATATAATCTTAAAAATACAAGTTAAACCTCAAATCGTATATAGGAGGGGGGACATTTGATATTTTGTCCCCCTCTAAAAAAATCATGAAACACTGGCAAAAAAAAAAAAAAAAAAAAAAAAGGTCAAACATACCCCTAGTTTGTATATATACGGCAATGCCTTAATATTAACTTATACAAAATCATATTAAACGGCGCTTGTTTTCTGTTGCATGTTCCATTCAAGAAAGCTGATTAACAAAAAATATTAAGACAATAAAAAAAACGACAGCTACATTTAAAAACACAATATGCCTACTTTGTTCAAAAGTGGTGCGTGGAGGGCATAAATCAAACTTTTTCCGTATCCAGTGGGAAGGATCCCCATGGTGTGATTTCCTTTGGCAGCGCTTATGAGCATGGACTCCTGTTTTTGTTTCAGTACAAAAGTACTTCCGAGCACATCATCCACAACTTCTTTGAGCATTCTCGTTTCCATGGCAGTTTCTACGTACGCTGAATAATTTCTGCCTGAATCATGAATGAATCTGGGCGATTACGCTATAAATTTACATTGCACACAGTATAGACGTCGCGTCGTCTGCTACAGCAGTTGCTTCCGCGCGTGCTACTCGGGCGATCTCGTCACGTGACTTGACCTTCACAGAGTTGCGATTACCTTCCGGTTCATATACAGCGATTACATGAGATCGAGCCCCATAGGACTGCACACAACTTTGTTCGCTGTGTGAAGGACTTTACTGATAAAAAGGCAGGATTAGGTGAGTTTTTAACATTTTTATTTAAAAATAAATAGAGCTGCATGAAGCTCATGTAATACCGAACACCCAGAACACACTCCCAAGGTGATAAAGGTTATGATAGAATAGATATTCGTGTCGTCGGCAAATGTGTAGGGGGCTCAGCGGCTTTTTGGAGCAAGCGGGGTACATCCCCGAGCTTCGCTCGGGGATGTGTATATTTAGGTGGTGTGCAGAGCGCCGAGCGAATTTTTTTTCCGTACTCGAGAGAGCAAAAATCCCATGTGCGCATGCGCGTGGACTTATGATTTCTCTGCTACTTCCCATACGAAATGTACATGTATTCGCATGTACTGTGCACGATTCGCGTTCTACGAGTAAACGATGGCATAGTAGTCTTCAAACACAGACTCTGATTTGCCAGTTTGACAAATCAATATGCGTATGTGTCGCGATGTGCTTATTCAAGTCTGTGTAGTTGTATGATTCAGACCCAGTAGTGCATATGGAAATACATTGCAACTTGTATAGAATGGTATAGTAGTCTGCAAGCACAGACGCTAATCTGACAGTTTGACAACATACTAGTAGTGTGCTGAGAAGTACTTTATTCAAGTCGCCAACTTGTATAGAATGGTATAGTAGTCTGCAAGCACAGACGCTAATCTGACAGTTTGACAACATACTAGTAGTGTGCTGAGAAGTACTTTATTCAAGTCTGCGTAGATGTATGATTCAGACCCTACTGGTGCGTGCGTTAGAAATGCATCTCAATGTGTAGAGTGTAGTATAGTAGTCTGCAAGGACATAATAATATATTGTGTATTGATGAGTAGTGATTTTATGCAAGTTTGTGTAGTTTAATGATTCCAGACCCCATGGTAGGCCTATGTATTGTGCCACTGCTCTCTCACACTCTTTCTCTCTCTCTCTCTCTCTCTCCATATCTCTCTCTCTTTCTCTCTCTCTCTCTCTCTCTAGCCCTCCCTCCAGTATGCTCGCACTCTCTGTATTACTTTTACTTCTGGCTCTCAGCAGACCATGATTATAAATAAAAGTAATACAGAGAGTGCGAGCATACTGGAGGGAGAGCTAGAGAGAGAGAGAAAGAGAGAGAGAGAGAGAGTGAGGGAGCAGTGGCACAACACAGAAAACTACGAAAACTTGAATAAAAGCACTACTCAATACACAATAGGCCTATATTATTCTGTCAAACTGTCAAAGGAGAGTCTGTGCTTGCATACTACTATGCCACTCTATAAGTTGAGGTGCATTTCCAATACACGCACCAGTAGGGTCTGAATCATAAAACTACTCAGACTTGAATAACACTATTTTGTCAAACTGTCAGATTAGCGTCTGTGCTTGCAGACTACTATGCCACTCTGCAAGTTGAGATGCCTTTCCAATACACGCACCAGTAGGGTCTGAATCATAAAACTACACATATTTGAATATAAAGCACTACTCAAGACACTATGTTGTCAAACTGTCCGATTAGCGTCTGTGCTTGCAGACTACTATACCATGCTATTCAATTTGGGATGCATTTCTGTAAGCACTAAAATGTCTGAATCATACAACTACTCAGACTTGAATACTAGTACTATTGCTACGCACGATATATGCGTAATTGTTTTGTCAAACTGGCAAATCAGAGTCTGTGTTTGAAGACTACTATGCCATCGTTTACTCGTAGAACGCGAATCGTGCACAGTAGATGCGAATACATACATTTCGTATGGGAAGTAGCAGAGAAATCACAAGTCCACGCGCATGCGCACATGGGGTATTTGCCCTCTCGAGTACGGAAAAAAAATTCGCAAGCGGGGCTAAGCAACAGCCAATCACAGACAGCGTGGTCGTGTGGTCGTGAATTTGCATTTATCGCGCGCTATGCATGCAGTTCACGTTACGCATGCATGCAGTTCACGTTACGCATGCGCGGTAGCAAAAGCATTAATATTCATGAGCTATCGAATAGTCCGGGGCTAAGGCGAACGTAGTGTGAATCGCGTGAAATTTCTTAACCCCGGCTAAGCACATAGTCCGGGGTTAAGAAAATAGATGTGAACAGCAAAAAAAATAGTATGGGGTTAAGGATAGTATGGGGTTAAGGATAGTCCGGGGTTAAGAAAAATAGATGTGAAAAGGGTATTTGTGGGGTTAGCCCACTTTGGCAAAACGTAATGTGAACAGAAAGCCGGCTAAAATTACCCCGGGTAATTGGTGGGGCTAAGGAAGGAATTGGTGGGGCTAAGAGCCCCCTTAGCCCCACCTATTTCCCGGGGTTAAGCAATATTTGGTAGATGTGAAAAGGGTATTGGTTACGAGAACCTCTTCACGCACGATTTAATGTGCGGATGAATATCATTTTAGAGATAACGTGATAAGTTCATGATGGTTAGTCTCGTTTTAGGGCTTGAGAAAGTTTCTTGTTTGTGTTATTGATTATTCTTTTTGTCTATGATTATGCATTTAATGCTTCTTTAAAGATTTATGGTTTATTGAAAGTTGGCATATTATTATAACTATAAAATTTAGATTTACTGACACAAGAATGGAACTTGAGTATATGTGGAAATTGGATTGCTAAGTGTTAAACGTATTGCAAGAACATATATTTAGTGTTTTCATTTGTTGTATTTTGCAGGAATTATCCCACACACTTGTTGAATTTTTCTCTTCACTTTCCAATGATGGTCCACGACAGTGTCACAATAAAGGAACCAACATGAGTTAAACGGATGTCTCCTTTGTTTCATCATTGAATTGCAACAACGTGTTTAAACTAGAAGTCACATAAATCCTTTGAGTCCGTATTCCATCACAATTTGTTTATTCTTTTTCTTAATCAATCTTGTTTCCTTTTTTGTATTTGGCCAACATGTGACATGTTAGGAATGTTCATTTGGTAATATAGTAACAACTCGCATTAAGTAATTAATTCAAACGAGCTCATGTGCTTTTAAATTTCAGTTCACAAATCATAATTAATGTTTTTGATATCTGGATGCAACTTGATTAGTTTGTTGTAAAGTGGAACCTCATAGTTTTTGTATTAGTGACACAGGATTGAATAATTCCTGATTATGTGTACAATACATTGTATCCTTTTCTATAGTATTACCCCCCCCCCCCACCCCCCTCCAAGAAAAAAAATGAACAAGTTGAAATTAAGAATATTGTTTATGATATTGTTTATTTTGTCCATTCGATTTTGCAGGTATCCATGCCTTCTCTGCCTCATCAGAAGCCATTTCTTCATTCAGAGGGTCGACCACAGATGTGCTTTAAAGGCCATCTGTACTAGTTCAGCCAAACAGGATTAGACAACCCAGCGAGGTCACTGACGGAAGGCTATCTCATCGATTCAGTTCTCAATTAACATAAGAAAAAGAGGATCATGGGGGATTAACAGGCACAGATTGGGGAAGTTTTCTATATAGAGGGAGCAAGTAGCTACAAGTAGTACAGTGGGGCTTTAACACTTCACACACAAAAAAGGGAGATGTGTGATTGAGCGCATATTTATTAAATGCAAGGATGAGGACGTTCCATGCCTCATCAATCTAAGAGAGAAGGTCGACACTTCTTAATTATTTTTATGCTTTCCTGTTGCCCATATGGGAAATTCATTTTGTGCAAGTATAGCATTGGTTTGGCCAAGTATAGCCTAAAACAGCTAACACTGGAGCTTACTAACAAGCATTTATTGCTTTCTTAGCAGTCAAGTAAAATAACCACCATTATCTATCTATTTATTGAGCTATACATTGTTTAATTAAGGATTCCACAAAAATTGTCAATGTATATGGTAATAAGTTATAAAATACAGATTTAACTCAATTGCAACTGGAATTACCTCAAAATGTATTTCAAAATACTGCCCCTCCCTGGTGTTCCCGCAATACTTCGTAGTTATGCAGCTTTACATCAAGAACCTGGGTGTTGAACTGTTGTCCGTTTAAACTATTTAGAGGTAAGTTGATTTTTCATGCCAAAAACTTCTGATGTAGGCACTGTCCCCATCAATTTTAATATTTTTGAGGTAACTGTGATCTCTGTTGACTTTCAAGCCCGCAAATCACTATGAGGTAAATGACGGACATCATCCTTTTTTTTATATAACATGTTAGAAAGTATTTGGTTTCTAGATATTTTAAAGATTACTGATTGACTGCCTAATATCTGCTGATACAAATGTTTCAGTTAACAATACTAAAAGACGTTGTAGTGAGAAAAATAATACAAAATTGGTGACATAAAAGATTTACCACATGGTCTGAATGTAACAGTTCAATTTAAGTGTTTTGTTTGATCCATGAATAATTACAAAAGATCAAGGTCCCCATCATTTAAACAAAAACAAAATTGTTATTCTACTTGAGGTAAACAAGTTTGCGATTCAATTTTCACCTTGCATGAGGTCTAAACCTTCAAATGCATAATCATTATTCTGACGCACATAATCCTAGGTTTGTCTACAAACCTCCTTTGGGAATTCGGGCCAATATGACCCAATTTCAAAATTCACATTAACTTGCGCTTACCTGTAAATTGTGAAACAGCACATGTGCTTGAATACATTGATTATGGTTTGTGAAACAAACATGTTTGAAATTCCATCCATTTAGAACAAAAATATAATTGCACATGTGGTTAAATGCATTTATTGTGATTATAAAACAGTTAGGCCTAATAACAGTGCTATTTGAATTGTGTAAATTCTCAGTGAATTACAATAATGATATTACTTTTGTGAATGGTTTGTCTTTATATAATCTGTGCTGGGTCTACCATGAGGTACAGGTTACCTCTTATTTTACACACACTTTCTATATAAACTACCAAAGAAATATTTTTGCATGACATAATCCTAAAACAAGTCTTGGCTATAACATTTTTAAAGAGTTTTTTTTCAGTGGGCCGGGGGGGGGGAATATTTTTGATGTTATATTTAGTTGATAAGTATTTGTTGTCACTCTGACGGTATTTGTAAATAAGTGTTCTCTATAGATTAAATGCACCCGATTTAACTATAATTAGCATTGTATACACTGCTGAGTTGAGGGGTGGGTCAATATAAATTATTTGGTTGTCAGCTGGGGGAGAGTATTCGAACAAATATTATTTACTGTACTAAGCGAAGTCAGAATTAAAGAACTTTTATGTGCAAATTTGAATTTTCGTCACCCATTTTGTTGTATTTCTGATTTTCTTTCTGCTAATAGCGCTAGAGTGAGACTTTTAATTGGCCTTCCAGAGCCTCTCTTAACCTCTAGTGGGCTATATTTCATATAAGCATGCTACAACATTTACAAATGTGAACTGCATCGTTTGAACAAACGGTAGATTACTATTGTGTTGTATGCTCAATTATTTATGTAAAACATGAAAATACAAATACAATATTCTTGCTTTCATATATTTACAAAGATAACTGAAATAGATATGTGTCAGATTATCTCTCTCTCTTTCTCCCTTTTTTTTTGGGGGGGGGTGCAGATGTGTGTGTTTGCAGTTTGCATGGTTTTGCATTATGTGTTTCATTGCAAAAAAGAAGAAGAAGAGAGAGAGAGAAAGTTGAATAGAGAGAGAGGGGGGACAAAGAAAAAAATTAATAGAGAGAGAAAGGGAGGGAGAGAGAGAGAGAAAGATGAATAGAGAGAGAGTGGAGAAAGAAAAAGAATTAATAGAGAGAGAAAAGGAGAGAGAAAAAAAATGGGTAGAAGGGGGGCAGAGAAAGAAACAGGGAGGGAGAAAGAGAAAGGTGAATAGAGAGAGAGGGGAGAAAGAAAAATAATTAATAGAGAGAGAACAAAAATGGGTAGAAAGAGAGAGGAGGGACGGGGACAGAGAAAGAGACAGGGAGGGAGAGAGAAAGAAAAGATGGCCATAGAGGATTTTTTTTTTTTTTTTAAATTAATATTATATGGAAACAAATCATTTACCAGTTACAATTTTTATGTGAAAAAATAGCCAGTTGGGGAAACAAACGGGGAACTAGTTAAAATAATAATTGATTGACCATTCTAACAAAATAACTATATAGATCTATAGTAATTAACAATTGCAATCAAATGAATTATATTAAATCATTATTATTATTATTATTATTATTATTAGGTGATTTTATTGATAAGAATGAGTAGCCCCCAAAACAATAAGACTCTTACAGTTAATTTAAAAGAGCCCTTGACAACCTTAGATGTATTAATCTAACGAAGGTTTTTTAGGTGCCGATGTCAATTTGTTCTGGGTCAGATTGAGTGCTTCACCAGCACCACACAAATGTGAGTACGTGGGGCACTTTCTGCATCGGCGCGCCAGTTTGGTTCGATTAATTCATGAAAATGCAATTCAAAAGTTTATTTCAGAGATGTTCTAACCATCATCTTTTCAAGATTGCTCATTAAGATGTCCGGATCGTACTAAGAATGCTTAGTTTAACAGTTTTTTCAATTCTTAACATTTAAACCCTAGGCCTAGCCCATAAAAATTATGTTAGAAACCCTATGGCTGAGACTAGTTTTACAAACCTTGGTCCGAGGTTTGGGAATTACAGACCAAAGTTTATACAAACCTTCCTTTGTGGAATGGGTTTGAAAATAAACCAGGTTTGAGCTCAGACCAAGGTCTGTATAAACCTTGGTCTGATCAAACCGGGTCTGTCCTCAGACCTCCGTTGTGAATTCGGGCCATATACGTCTATGCTTTTTCAGCAACTAAACGAACATGTTTATGGATAATTTCACGTACCCTTTTTGTTGTTCTTGCTGTCAGCGAGTCTTGCATTTGATAAGTTGAAATCTTGGGAGAGATTCTTGAGCCATTTTTGTCTTGTTTGGAATTGTCTTGTCTTGTATGAAAATACCGACCAATTTTTCGCACACGTACGGTATCCTCGATCGCTCAAACCATTTTTTAACATGTAAACCTATGGGGTAACCATGGAGACTGACCTATTTTCCCAATAACCATGGTTATTGGAAAAATAGGTCTGTTTTAACCATGGTTACTGCGAATTTTCGGGAACGGTTAAAGTTTATGAATGCAATTTCGACCAATCCGATTGCTGGATTACTTAAGTGAGGTATATAACGTGTAATATAAAATGTAAGTAAAAGTTTAATTCGAATTACTTCGAATTTGGATAAACTCCAAGAAACTGAATGACACTCACCTCTGTGTACGGCTATTGTCAAGTGTGTGGAAACCCGTTTCTAAATCTTTCCTCCTAAAACTATGTTCAGAACAAATTGAGAGAACTTGCTGTGAACGCCCGACCCAAAATTGACGGTTTAGAAGACTGAAATCAAACGTGTAAAACATCATACGATTTCATTGGTCAGTAAATTGATTTATTAAATATTATTCCTTGCATTTTGATTTCCCAGTTATCTGCAGTGGGGTGACGTATGTAGACTGTGCAGTAGGCATATGCCTGTGTGTAGACTTATGCAGCGAAGGTAAGATCTATGGTCTTTTTGAAAATAGCTTGTAAAGCCAGTATTTAGATTTGACAGAATATGCTCGTTCCTGATAAGTTATGCCATGGTCTCATCTTGCCGTGCGCTTTTTGGTACATAATTTATGCGTGTGATCATCAAAGTACGTGTTGGACATACATGCCCATTGTAGCAGCCTCCCGCTGCCACCTTGAGTGCTCGTAATTGCCTACCCCTCCCCCCCCCCCCCAAAAAAAAAAAAAAAAAAAAAAAAAAAGCAGAACACTGCGTCTGACGAAGCTATTTTCTGTGGAATCCATCATAGAGGGAAACTGAAGTCCACGGCCAGCTGTGACCATAAACTGTACATTATGTAAGAATGCTAATAAATTACGCCGAAAGTAAGAGCCCTTGTTCTTAAAACATGTTGTCATTGCGGCAACGCAATTTCTTTAAAGCACAAATTATCTAGAATCCTCAGAGAGGGGAGACAGGATAATAAACACAAATGGAAAAAAGGATACAAATGGAATAAAGGAAAAAGAAACATTCCAAAGATCAGGAAAAGTTTAACATATTTATTTAACAACAGTATTTATTTAATAACAATATTTTGGGGATACTTTTAAAATATGCCGTCGCAAATTTGACATCTCACTAACACTTCGAGACTCTGCCCTATTTTCCAAAGGGTATTGGAAACGTTCAGCAGCTCCACCCCTACCCCCTTCTGAACAGGGGCGTCGCTAGACCTTTTTTCAGTAGGGGGGTGTAGAGGCCAACGTTTACCGACAAAACTAGCCACCAATTACCGACAAAGTTAAATGTCCCAATATCTACAAATTTAACCCTATAAACCCGGGGCCG